TATAAATGTAATTAGTCTTTTTACAATAGAAATACTTATTTAAAATTAAAAAATTTATTAAATCTGAATTAAAACACGTTCAAATTTATCAGTGCATTATTATTTAAATTTTAATCTATTCTTTATCGTGTTTCTCGAGAAAGAATGAAAGTAATCCCTTTGATTATTACAATGTCGATCTATTGCTTCATTAACAAAGTACGTTAGACTTCGACAGAGAAGTTATTTCTAATAAATAAACCTTATAAAAGTCAATAGTGTTACAACAATGAAAGACATTGTTCTTCGAATCCAATTAAACGCCGCGACTCGTAATATTTAATTGATTCTTATTAATCATCTTGACATATGTTAAGAATTCGCGCCACCACCGTTAACCATATATGACAAACTTACTTGAATTAATTGAGATTAATTCATCTGGTTGTTTAGTAAGCGTAGGAGCCATAAACTGAACCTAAGTGCACTTGCGTAAGAGCGCACCTGAACCTACATTTTGAGCAGGTTATTCTTAATCGAGGTCTATACGTCATTTGTTCAAGAAAGACCGATGGGTACGTAATAATGGAAACATTTCACTACAAATAGTATCGAATATCGATACTAACTTAATCCTTTATGTGACAGAAATAAAGTCAAGATTAAAAAATTGTTCTGAGTAAAGACCAAATTAACAATCAAGGATAATTAAATATAGGAATAACAAAAAAGTGATAAACTAACAAAAGACTTTAATAAACAAGACTTTATAACTAATGTGTTTTCTAAAGTAAACGATTCAAAATGCTTGCAAAAATCATCGAAACAAAAATATAACGATAAAATTGACAATTAAGTAACATGTCAAATTAATTATCAATACTTTGACAAAATTACGTTCTGCATAAAAAAGAAAGAAGAGTAAGAAAGTATAGGAGTGAATCTCGAGAAATTGAAATGAGAAGAATAGGGAAAAGAGAAGATAGAGCGAGGATGAGACCAGTTGGGGGATCGACGATCCCCACCCTGTATAAAAGTCTTTTTCTGCCAGCGACGTGTTCAGTTCGAACGACGCGCTGCGTGCGATTATCTCTGGGGATCATCCTCGTCATTATAGAGAGGCTGCGCGAACAATGCCCTACTGAAAAAGGATTCTGGTCAAGATGCTGCGGCGTGCAACTGCAGTCCTCTTCATCTTGGTACGTCGTCTTTAGTACATCTTTCTCTATATATACAACTTTAGAAATTAGAAACTTATTTATTTATAGATATTTACTTTTTTATTAAATTGATAAAAACTGAGTAAATATCTTTTTCTTCTTCTAAAATAACAATTAATTATTTCATAAAATTATGATATTTAATGATTTTGTTAAAATAATTAAATAATAGTAATAAAAATATGTTTTAAAGTAATTATTTTTAATATTTAAAAAGTAAATTTTAAGAAAAAATGTTTTTGCAAAAGAAAATGATTTACTGTAACTTTTATAAGATCAATAATAAAATAAAATAATATCGGATAAAT